TACTCGTGTTTAACATCGAGACACAATAAGACATAAGGTTTGAAAAAAGGCCCAAAAAACCAAATCGGCTGATATGTCTATTAACTAAATCGTAATATAAACCTCTCTGGTAAATCAATTCTAAATGTTTACCACTTTCCACTTTTGCCATCTTTTTCACAAAGAAAACAAACTATTGATTTTCAATTACTTTCATGGTTAGATTCATTACAATAAATGTCTAGGCAAGCATCTCGTGAGCTTTTTTGTGTTGCACAAATTTCGCTTAATGAAATGGTGAGAGCACATAAAAAAATTAAAAAAAATTTCACTGAAAAAAAAATGAACCAAGATTGTATATATAGAATCTTGGAATATTTATCAGAAGATAAAAAAACATTATTATCATGTCTATTCGTCAATAGAAAGTGGTGTCAGATAGCAGTAAAGATTCTTTGGAGAGATCCCTTTCAAAATATAAAAAATGAACATTGGTTATTAATTTCACGAACAATTTATTACTGTTTACCTGAAGATTCAAAAAGAAATATAAAGAATTCGGGGATTATTATAAATTTTGATTATTCAATCTTCCCATCATCGTCGTCACCATCATTAACAAAAGAAACAGAAGTAGTTCCATTTTTTGACTATCTCAGTTACTGTCAAATATTATCTGTTCAAGATATATATGATATTGATTATAGTATTAATACTTGTGGGAGAAGATTTATGACCATTCATAAATCCACAATAGTTTCAGATGAATTGTTAAAAGTGTTTCTAAAAAAATGCCGTCTAAAATTTTTTGAAATAAAAAATATTGATGATATATTTGATAATCTTAATATTAATAATAATAATGGAGAAGGAAACGGTATTATTGGTGATCTTGACATTGCTAGCAATATTAATGATGTTAAGAGTATTAGCATTAGTGGTGATGAGCTTAGTAATGTTAGCAATGGTAATGTTAATAGTGACAAAAATAACAATTCAATCAATTTAACATACAAAGTTCACCATTTAAAGGTTTGGAATGATTTATCACCTTCGATTTTAAGGAAGATCTCAATAATGTTTCATGATATTAAGATATTAACAATAAAATTTTGTCATTATGTGATTATTAATAATAGACCAGAAATTAAAAACCTTATAGAATCACAAAAATCTTTGCAAGAAATTAATTTGTTAAACGATTCTTTCTTTATATTTAAAGAAATTGATGATTCAATCTCAAAACATTCAGAAACTTTAATCAGTTTGAATTTTAAATCAAATTTTGTTTTTGAATTAAATAATTTAAATAGATTAAATAATTTAAGAAAACTTGTAATCGATATAGTGGAAATTTCTTTGCGTTTAGAATTTTTAGATTCAATAAGTTTCCCAAATCTTGAGAAACTTTTTGTTTTTGGTGATCAAAACGATATCAGAACAACTTTGGATTTAAAATTTTGTACAAAAATAATAGAGAAAACTAAAGGAAATATGAAAACTATAAGAATAGAATCAAACAAATTTCTAAACGGTACTTGGCGTTATATCAAATCGATACCTGTTCATTGTCCAAAAATCCAAAAGCTTACGATATTTTACGACAACCTCAACTTTCTTGGTTTATCAATGAAAGAAGACTTTGAAAATATTTTGAGATCTTGTAAATATTTAAAGATTTTATATGTTCAAGAGTTTCACCATAGTAACTTTTGTTTCCTTGATGGCAATCAGATTTTGAGTTCTTTGGCAGGTCATTTATCTTCAAATATTTTTAAAGAGCTACATATGATCGGTAATTGGACAATTTCTCTTGATGGATTTAAAATCTTTTGTGAACTTTGTAAAATTAGAAATAGAAAAAAAATTACTTTGAAATTTTGGTTTGATGAAGGAATTTGTCAAGATGGTTTTGTTAAAATTTATGAGAATTTTGTGGATTATGGAATTTTAAAATCTTTAGAATTTGGTTGGAATAGCAAAAAAAAAAATATTAAAAGAATTTTAAATTATGAAGAAGACATTATTATATGAACATTGGATTAGATAAACTAGATTAGTTTTTTTATTGTACAATATTAAAATTTGTAATGCTTAAATTCAACACATGTATATTAATATGTATATGCATATACGCATACATAGACAATTACCATTAAAAAAAATAATTATAATTTTCCCCTTCCTTTTTCCAACAACAAAAAAAAAATAATAATGAAAAATAATTATAATTAATTAATTAATTAACCAATTGATTGATTGATTGATTGATTGATTGTAATCTTTATGGAGAATCGCCAGCAGTGAAGCGAAGGATGAAATTGAATAGTACGGCAACTATTAGAAATTTATAAAATTATTATTTAGGAATTACTAGCAATAACAGTAATAACAGTGATTAAGACGACGATGATAATAATAAAAATAACAAAAGACTTACGGACGAGGAAAAAACAAAGAAATGTAGGTCCATATCTATCATCATAAGAACCTGCTTCTCTTTTTCTTATCTTGGAGGCCCTCCAATGATATATGTATAACGCGTATCCCATGAATGACATGGCTTTGAAAAAAATAAATAATACAATATATATTAATATATGTAAACATAGAGTTCTTTCATTCTCTTTATTCAATTGTTTAATTTTTTCTTTTATAATTAATCAAGTTACCAAGTAAAGTGAATACTGCTCCAGAAATCCTGGCGACTTTATCATCACCGAAGTTGAGGAGACCAATTGCCAAACCACCCAGGACAACAGTAAATTGAAGCCAGGATAAAAAGGTACGTTCGTTGGCAAAAAATACCTAAACGATTATTTTAAAAGAAAAAAAAATTGGCTTGAATGATCAAGAATACAAGTACGATAATTTTTTTTATTGATTTAAAAAAGCTGATCTACTTTAGGTTCAACTCTAGTTGGGAGAACTATGCGTTTTTGAAGTGGACCTTGAAGAAGTGGTTGAGTCGACATTGTTAGTACGATTTAGAATTATTAATTATGATCGCGAGTATTATTATAGTATATATTATTCCAATAATCTTTTCAATAAAAATTTTTTTGTGGGATATTTTCTTCGATGATCAATTAATTTAAACTGTTGACTGATTTTACTAGCAAAACCCCGGTTACACTATTACCATTTAAATTTTGAATTATAAATTGTAGGCTGAATGAATTTCGGCAGATAAGGGAATGGCCACAATATTTACAAATAAAAATAATCAATCAAATCAATAAAAAAACATTAAAATATAAATCTCTGATTTTATAGTTAGTATTAGTACAACAACTCTATGCGCTTTATTACTATTATAATAAAAGGTGCCTCTTTTAAAAATATAAGAAATTGTTACACGAAAATTTGCTCTCCCATATTCAAAAAAAATTGGAGAATTGATTTTTACAAGTAATTAAAGTCATGAAATTTGCAAAACAGCTGGCTTTAAGAACCATTCAATCATGGTCTGAATATTATTTGGACTATAAAAGTCTTAAAAAGTATATTAAAGAAGCATCTGCAAGTTATCATGGTAGAATTTATCTTTTTAATTCACTATTTATATTGTATGAATTTAGTTAGTTTTGAATTTCAAAAGTTTGCTAATTTTTAATAATTGTAATTGAAAAAAAATAAAAAGCAAACAATCGTGATCCAGACATATTAAAGAAAACTTTGGGGGAATTTCGTGAATTATTACTTGTCGAATTAAAAAAAGTAGATTCGCGTTTCGAACAAGTTGAAATAGAATCATCTACGGTTTTAGACGAATTGAGCGCTAGAGTATGATCCCGATTAATTTGATAATTTGATCTGTTGTGTATTTATATTAAATTATTTGTTTTTTTTTTTTTTTTTAAAAAGTCGCATAAAACAATGACAACTGAACAAATAGATCAATGGTAGGCAAGATTTTCATTAATTTAATTTAATCTATTGCGTTTTTTTTTTTTTTTGGCATTAGGTAAGAATCTAACATTATCGATTTTTATGTGAAATAATAGGCGAAAAGATATGACAATGCTTTTACAAACATTAGAATCAATGAATGGTTTATATTATTTTTGTTTGATTGATTGATTAGTAAAGACATAAATTTATTAATTGACATGGTTTTAATACAAAAGAATTCACTGATACAAACGTCATGGGTTTCCAGAAGATTTTGAAAAAATTTGATAAATATTTGTATCAAACATCATCTGAAGTAAGCAGTTCGGCACCTCCGGAAAACCCAATTGCAAACAAGTCAAATAATACCACTTTAAGTTTTTATTTGACTCCAGATATTTCTGATAATGCCGAAGGAAATTTTACACGTGTAATAAATAAAAATAGTCACAATCGATATAGTTTCACCCCAATTGGAAAAGATTTATGGGCATTAGTTTTAAAACATAAGTTCGCCACAAGTGAAGCTGATGAGATATTGTTGTCACGTGCTAGACAGGTAACAACAAGTTTTATTTAAGAAATTATATATAAATTATATAATAACATTGTTAATGTTTTATTCATTAGCTTTGGAGAAAACGTGTACCATTATCTCCTGCTGTGACACCCTTAGTAGAAGATTTATCAGCATTAACGATTGAAGATTCCTCAATTCCAACAATAAATTCATTAGATTTAGACGTTTTACCCAATGGCAAAGTTTCAATGCTGTGGGTAGTTTTAGCAGAAGATGGATTAAGTTTACCAATTAAAGTACCCGTAATGGTTGCAAAGGTATCTGATAAAAGCTTTTTTTCATTTAAACAATATGTTAGGTGCAATTGGCCTTGATGGGTTTAAAACTTTGTATTTATTTACTGACAGATCAGTTTGTTTATGTCATGAAATATTATGAATGAAAGGGAGTTAAAGGTGGACCTATAGTTGGTTTGGTAAAAATATTGATAATTTCTCTTGCTCTTTTTATACATGTATAAAAATTGAATTAATATAATTGATATATGAAATTTTTATTTTATTTTTTTAAAAAAGACTGCAGCATTACATGGTAATGAATTAAACGGAATTCCACTAATTCATCGACTGATGTCTCAAGATTTGAATTGCAATAATTTACACGGCGTGGTAGTATCAGTTCCTGTTGCTAATGTGCCTGGATATTTGGCAGGTCAACGTACATTCAGCGATGGCCAAGATCTTAATCGTGTTATGCCAGGAAAACCTAACGGTAGCACTTCGCAGGTTTATGCGTATAATTTGATCGATCGTATTGTGAGTAAATTTACTCATTTAATTGATCTACATACCGCATCAAAGGGGAGAGCAAATTCTCTTTATGTTAGAGCTAACATGAATGATCCCAGAACCAGAAGAATGGCTAAATTGCAAAACCCTCAGGTAGCTGATTCTATAACCCCCCCAATTATCATATCTACACCTTTTAACAATCGTTTCTAAACCTTTTTTTTTTCCATAAAAATATTAACAAAAATTTTAGATCATTGTTCATAATACGTCACCTGATGGTTCATTACGTGGGGCAGCAATGGAAAGAGGAATTCCTGCCATCACTGGTATTTTCACAAAATCTCATTGATTGATTGGTTTATTGATTAATAGACTTATTATGTGTTTAAACTTAGTTGAAATCGGTGATCCATCAAAATTTCAAAAAAGATTTGTTAAAACTGCACTCCAAGGTGTAACAAACATTCTTAGTAACTTAAAAATGATTCCTGATGAAAATCAATCACCGGAATATGATCCTGTAGTTTGTGCTAGAAGTGTTAGTGGCATTTTATTTGTTTGTTTGTTTTTACGATTTCCCAAAAATTAAATTATTTTTTATTTATATATAGTATTGGATTTTTGCTAAAAGAGGCGGTATTCTAAATGGTATTCAGAGCCTTTTCCCTTAACTGCATTTATTTTTCCATTAATTATAATAATAGGCTCACTTCACATACATCATATATTATTCATTTATGTATAAATAGTCATACCAGATGTAAATACATGGGTCAAAAAAAATGAAATAATTGCCACGTTAGATTCTGTTTTTGGAATACTTGTTGAAACTTATTTTGCTCCTGAAGATGGAATAGTAATTGGTAAAGAAATGTATCCGGTATGTCAATCTGGTCAAAGGATCTTACATCTTGGTGCTGTCGATGATAAATTCGAAGCTAAAGTAGATGATGGACATTTGTGATTTATAAAGGTTTATATATATATATATACACATATATCAATTTGTTTATTAAAATATATATACACAATTTTTAATATATGTTTATATAAATATAGACAAATAATTTTTTTTTTGTTTTATTTTTTTTTAAAAAAAAATAAAAAGAAAAAATTTACATTTAAAAATTTTAAATAATCTTGCAATAATAAGTCATAACAAAAAGTAATATAATATAAAGTTTTGCATAAAATTTTTAATGTTTATTTTTTTTTATAAAAAAAATATATTTATAATTATAATAAAATAACCCTATCAAAAATAATAATTTTCTAAATTACAAATAAATAAATAATTAAACAAATTAAATAAATATTAATGATGATGATGATGATGATGATTGATGATAATGATTATGATGATGATGATAATGATGATGATGATGATAATGAAAGGTGATGCTAACCAATGTATATTATCACGATGATTCTATGGATAAAAATCTTCTTCCCAATAGAGATTTCATAATTGATTGAACGAAGGATTTGAAAGATGTAATTAGGTGATTGGCAATATGAGGAGGTATAGGTGATCTCGGTATTTCATATGATGACGATTGTCCATTCTCTATAAGCTTTTGTGACATCAAAGGAGGAATAGGTGGCACAACGCTGGTGGTTATCGCGTTTGTTGCCTCTACGAATGTATCTAAAAGTCTATACCATAATAGTTCGCTTTCGTTCTCAGGTGCACGACTTATTTGAGTAAGTGTTGCATCAATTATTAAACCAGCACTAGGTGATGTATCATGTCGACTACTATTCTCACACAAAAGAATACCAATTTTTAATACCCCTTTTAACTTCATTAAAGTACTATCAACTTCTGTTTTTTCTATTAGTGACCATCGATCACTTTTGGAATTCTTTTTCCTTTCAATCAAATCAAGTATGCTTTTCTTTTTTTCTTGAACAATATTTATAATTTTATTGAGTGCTCCCATCGGTTTACCACTTTTTTCTAAGAGCCAAACAACCGCATCTAGCGTACCAGAAGATTCGCAAATAGGAAGTACATTTTCTATTCGATATTTATTTTGATGGGTTTGTAAATAATGGTAGACACCAGTTGGATCAAATTGGCCCATTAATGCAATGTATTTTTCATGAATTTCCGGATCAAGGCATGACTCATCTGCAGATGTTTCTGGATCATATATTTGTTCGTTAACAGACTTTATCCTTACCAATTGACAATTGTTTGTTTCGTCGTCTTGAGAAGGTTCCAACAGGCCTCTTAGATATAAAAACAGACGCGCTGGAGATGACGATAAATTAGTAATCACTGTTTGGTGATCACCACGAAAATATGTTTTTATTATTGAAGCAGTTTTTTCCCCATCAATCTCAACAAATTCTTCGATCCTCATCATTATTGTATTTAATATGTCATCTCGTTGTTTCTCTGTTAATTTATTCTCTTGACCCAACAATTCTTCAATACATTTAAAAGCTTCATTCTTTTGTGCTGGATCTTTAAGATATGTTGTAATTAGTAAACCATATTTTTTATCAACTTTATAAATGTGTTCTAGAACCCTCGAAAAACCCGCGTTTTCATATAGCTCAATCATTTTATTTTCATCATTTGGTGTATATATTGACAATAAACATTCGACAGCAAATTGTCTTACTTCGCGTGTTTGGGAATCATTATCTTTGCTAAGATAAACAAGTATCCTGTGCAAAGTAGAATGTGGTAGTAATAAAAATTGTGGATATTTAGGTAAATTCCTTGCAACAAAACAATATAAATGGGAAATGTCTGAATGTGCAAATTCTGACGATTCAGGAAAACCAGATGTCATGACCTCTAACAAGATATTGACCAATAATTGTCGATTAATGATTTTCCCTGGTAACTCTTCCTCATAATAATAATCATAATCATTATTCGTAATTATTTCCACTCCATTTAAATAAGAATCCTCAAACGCCTCCTCCAAAGCTTGTAAAAATGCCTTCGTGTCATATTTTAAAAATAATCTTAAATATGGATATGTTGGTTCGGTGTCATTATGATTATTTTCAGCAGTAAGAATCAATTCGCCGCCACTTTTTGGCCATACAACACAAAGGCCTGAAAACACAAATGAATATAAAGATGTCCGAGCTTCATTGGCCTCAATCTCACTAAGTGGGGCACCATTAGGATATGTATTACCGGTAAGTATATTCCTTAAATATGTATAAAATTTATGGGCATTTTCCTTCATTGTTTGTAGGTCATTTCCTTCACTGAACTTATTTGAATCAAATGAATTGCTGCTATTGTGAGAATGTCTGTGTTTTTTCTTTTTATGACGTTTTTCTAAAGATAAAACTTTTCTTATGACACCGAGTAATTCAACAGCAGGGCTAACATAATCAAACATCGATCTATTCCAAACATAGATTAATGCATCATATAAACCTTCACTTTGACATAATTGAACCAGCTGATCTATGTCTAAACATTGAGGATTTATACGCCATATACATTGTTCAATTCGTGAAAGCATTCTGTGAGTTTCATAATGGTTTACCAGATCCTTCATTATTTCTGGTGGAAGATCATTTATTTTGTTATCAAGAATATAAGGCTCTAACACTTCAAGTAGAATTCCTTTAGCAGAAGCTTCAGCATACCTTTCGTAAACATCATTGAAAAGGAAATCCTCTTTATGCATGCTAAGACAAGCTTCAATGCATCCGACAGCAAGATCATGAAATAATACACCTCCACCGCCACCATTATTTTCATCGATCATACCTTGAAATGTTCTTTCACTTGAAAAAGCATGATTTATGGAATCAATCAATAAACTCATTAATTCCTCGCCTACAATTGCATGACGACTTTCTTCGTCGATTGGTAAACCAAGAATTGTTTGTGATGAGCTACCATTATAAAATAATGTGGCTAAAGATATTGCTTCAAGAAAATCACCAGATTGAACAAACGCATCTATTCTATCATTCCATGATAGTAAAGTGCCCACATAAATTTGATTAACACCCTTTTAAATTGTAAAAAAAAATTTGCAACGTGTGAATATATTTATAGATACATATACAACTCACATGTATTAATATAACTATTAAAATGAACCTACCAATAGGAATAGATTTCCTTTATAAACACGCAAACTATGATAATAAGCTAAATCAATGCTTGATCGGTAATTACTAAACTGTAAATTTGACTCGTCAATAACTTCTTTTAAAAATGACGAAAATCGATCATGATAAACTAATGATCGTTGTCGGATATTACTTTCTTCACTTTCTCGCATATATCTCGGGTCAAAAACCACTATATCTTCATTGTTTGTTAAAATTAACAAAACCTAAATAAAATAATAAAATAAAAATCAATGTAAATTCCAATTTTTATAATTATATCTAAATATAAATATATATGTTTAAAGCTAACATGCGGAGAAAGCCATTGTAATCCAACAATCCCATTTTTAGCCTTCCATTCACCAATTTTAATAAATTCCAACCGATTTTCACGATCAGGCCTCCTCTTTTTTTTATTGGAAGCATCAGAATATGATGATGCAGAAGTGACCGTTACGATGTGTAAATGGTTACCCCATGAATATGCAAGTAAAGGGTCTGAATAAATGATAGGGCTATCTGTTGTTGTTGTTATGATTGTTATTAGAAAATATAAAGATATGTTATTAATTTGTATTTAGAAAGTTTTTTTTTCTTCAATAAATAATAAATTTAAATAACAAACAAAATATTTATATATTATGAATAAAACTGGTTTAACCTCGAGTAAGTTGAGATTTAACAGCAGGATACCAAGCTAGACAGCCAGAAAAGGTATTCGATGTAGACATAGCGTCATTTGGATTATTTTTTGGCTTTAAATATTTATATTGTGTTTGAGCTGTCGGCTTTGTGCTCACTACAATCATCTATACAATAATAATAATAATAAGTTTAATATTTTCTTAATTGAAAAATTGAAAATATATATATTATTTAAATAAACCTTATAAGGTGTTAATATGGCTACTAGTCCAAAGCTCTCCGAAACATGTGAGATTTGCCCAAGAGGTAATGGGGCTAAACCAAAAACCGTACTAGGTCTTTTTTGTTTTGCTGCAGTGCGAGAATCTGTTTGTGGTTTTGGTAATGAATATCTACCAAGAATACGAATTGTTTCTATACGATTTACCATCATAAACTTGTATAAACTATGGTAAAAGGCCATTCCCTAGATAGATATATAGACATAATATATGTAAAGTATAAATATATGTATGTGTATATATGAATAAGTATATGATCTATGGACATACACAATCATCTCCTGAAACAATACAATTTTTTCGAGCGCCGACAAATCCAACATGTAAAATTGCAGAACCACTGATATGACCTTCTTTTCTTCCAGCAAATGCAAGAGATTCTGAAATAGGCAATATTGTTGTAACAGGACTTGTAGATCGTTGAATATCCCATATAAAAATATGACCGCTTGCATGACCACTAACAATTTGGGTATTATCAGAAGAGATAGCAAGAGATGTAACTGAACCATATTCTAAAGCTATAATTTTTTTTGAAAAATTTTAATAATAAATAATAAATTCGTATTAATAATTAAACAATAAATTAAATTACCATCTGAAGAATTGCCAAAAACATATTTTAAATTTGAATAATCATAGACTAATATCAATCCACGTGTTGTGCCAATAGCAATTATATTTCCCACCTAAAACCAACAAATTCAACGGTAAAAATTTCTGATTAATTGTGGTCAACATAACAATAACAATGATAAGATTAACCTAGCAGCAGTAGTACTAGTAAATGAAACACTAACAGCAAAAACTGTAGCTAAGCCAGCACTTTGAGTAACATTGTGAGAGAATAAATGTTCAGAGACTTTTATTAATGGTGACCATCTAAATGCTTCCCATGGTTCAGGTGGAACAAGTAATCCTAATTCTTCAAGATCTAAAACAGATTGTGTTGATTGTGAATGCCTGCTAGAGGAAGAGTATGATCGAATTGATGCAACTGACGCTGAAGAAAGTCGTGAAAAACTTTGATCGGGGGCTCTTAAAAAACGAGTTGATGATAATGATGATGCAGCGTAAGTTGCGCCAGATTTACGAGTAGTATCTGATAACGAATCCTAATGATTATATTATTGTTAGTATAAAATTCTCTTACATTCATATGTGGTATGTTGCATTTGTATGACAACAATAGGAAATATCCAGAAAACAATGTTAACCTCAAATATATGTGTTCCTGATTCCGTATCTATAGTTTCAGAATCAATAAAATCTTCATCACTCGAATCTTCTGATTCGTTTAAAATTCTTTCCAAGTTTAAATGTTGGGCTAATGTTAAAAAAATATAAATTGAATTTTAATATTTTACAAGTATATATTAATTTGAAGTTGAATTTATTTAATGATCGATACCTTTATTTACAAATTCTTCATATAATGCAGTTTCTTTCATAACTCTTTCGAGAAGATCTGAAACGCCTTTCCTTCGTTGAGTACCTAAAGTTGATGGATCAGACAATGGACCACCCTGTAAATGGATTTGCAAGTCTTCCTGAAGTTTATATAATTCCAAGACAGCAGTTTTAATAGAACTTTCAGGAATAGTTGGGAGATCCAGCTCCGATATGCGTAATTGGTTAAAACTTATTTCAATGTCAACCAATGAAGAAACACCATTCACTAATAATAAAATTATTTATTTATTTGAATGTTTTTTCCAATTTATGATTTTTGTGTTATTATTATTATGATTATTTACCAAGACGTGAAATTGAGCCTTCGGCAATTTGAGGTTGATTTGATATTGAAATTTGATTTTCTGATATAAATGTTGAAGTACCTTCGCCACTGCAGATATATATTGTAATAATAATTATAATAATAATAGGCATTTTAGAATGATCAAATGAATTAATTGATCAAAAATGAAGAAAAGTAATTATTCCAGACGCAACAACATAAGAAGAGCTCAATATTCCAGAAAAAAAATATATGGCCAACTAACTAACAATTATTCTAACCTTCCATCTTCTTCTTCATCCTCACCATTGTCATCATCATCTGAGTCTTCTTCTTCACCATCACCATCACCATCATCATCATCATCATCATCATCATCATCATCATCAGTACTATTTGACATGGAATTGTCATTGTGTAATAAGTCAAGAGCTCTTCCCATAGCATCAGATAAGCCGGTAGTTCCTAAATTCTTTTTTAAATCATTCAAATATTTTTCAGCTTGATCTGAATCTTCTAAGGCTGCTTCAAGTTCAGGAGGTAAATGTCCTTCAAACTTTTCAGTAGATGATATACTCAATTCATTGTCTAATTCGGATTCCAATAACCTTTTTAATAAATCATCATAATTTTTAATGTCATTTTTTGTTGTTGTACTAGTTAATCCACCAGTTGATGCAGTTTTAGTTGATGTAGATGTCATGACTTTTCTTTCTATCGGGATGCACTCTATCGCTCACACCTTCACTCTATTATTATTATTTAACTCTATTTCTCTAGCGAAATATGGAATACTAAAAAAATTTAATTTTTTAGAATCTAAAAGAAATTGGTTTAAGAAATAACGAAGTACTCCAAAGTACTTTTTAAAAAAATAAATTTATTATATTTTTTTTTGTTTTTACAAATTTTTCTTTAATTTATGTAAAGTTAAAAAAGAAACTTTAAATATAAAATAATTAATCTAACTATTTTAAATCACGGAAAAGAACAATATAAGTGTGATATAATTCAATTATCATAAATAAGTAGTACAATGGAACATAAATCTATTGTGTTTTTTTAAATTCACGAATCAACGAGAATTCCCGATTTTTTTTCCTTCACACAATGGAACCACAATAAGATTTATTCAGTTACTGCTCAGGCGCTAAAAATTTTTCCGATTATATTAATATTGGATGGCATACTTGCAACAAATTACAATGTATAAAGATTTCAGGGGTTAAAATATAAAAAACTTGAGGGCTAAATATTCTCACATGATTTTCTACGTCTATTTTAGTATTAGTATTAGAGGAAAACGGCAAGCTTGACATCACCACCACGCGTGATACAACAATGAGATAATACTTGTCGTTACGGATTATGTTCCGGGAATTCCCAATATCACTTGTGAACCCCCGAAATTTCTTGCGACTCCACTTTTGCCAATATGCATGATGGCATAAAAACCAAAAAACAATGTTATAATTATTGTTTGTTGCATATTTTTAAAATAATACAAAAAATTTTTGATTTTCTAAATAATTGTCACAAAAAAAATTTGTATTGTCCCAATTTTAATTTTTTAATAAATATAATACATAATGGATTCATCTCTCATCAATTTCTAATTTTGTTAGCAATAGAAAAATCACTCACCTCCATTTATCCGTTCATTCATTATCGAACTTGCCCACACATTAATCATTCATTATCATTTTTATTATTTAAACAATATTCACTAAATATTAATTGTTATTTTAATTATTCTATTTTATTTTATAATTTAAATTATCACCTCAAAATTATCATATAACAATTTATTATTTTCATCATAGTGAAACAAATCATAACAGACTTCGCAAAAATAAGAAGGCGTTTCGCCTGCCAAAAAATCATTAATTGCCACCACCCTAAAAATCAATAATGAAAATTAATGATCGTTAACAAAACAAACAAAAAAATAAATTAGATAAACTTTGTACTTACACTGCAGGCCTTTGTACGCACATCCGACATTTATTACGATGTATCCTACCACGAAATATGGCTTTTGGATAAACACAAATATTTGAATCATCATAACTTTTCATTAATCTAATCATTATCAACATCAAAATCATTAGTAAACTCCATCATACAATCGTTCATGTATATATATACACACGCTTAATAATAGGGTATAAATACCTAATGTCTCTAAATACCACGGCATGTTGGCAATCATCTTGATGTAAAAACAGGTAAGGTTTATTAAGTTTTATTGAAAGATCTCTAAATAATGTATTCTCCATTCTTGCACTATGGTAAAGTGCAAGTCCAGGTTCTTGATGTCTATTGTCTTCTTTAACCCATTCTATAATATTTCTATTTATATAAATATTTAATATTTAATATTTAACAAGGAAATAATCACAAAAAAAAAATAGCTTCCACTTACTTGCTGTAATCAATAGCATCTAGCTCTCTTAAATCATTATAAAACACATCTTCAATAAAAAAATAACTTGATGGATTTTTCCTCTCTTCATTGTTCAAACTTACATTTAAACTTCCTCCAATATTGTTCTCAGGTTTGTAAAAATCTCTAATACAATAAAATACATCTCTTAGAATTGACAATGGTTGACTTCCTAACACCAAGTATTCTTGCATACGTGACGAAGGCTTCCCCTGATTGTAGAAAGCCACTGAATATATGATTTCGTTTGTACCTTCTTCTTCAATGATTTTTTCATTCTTGTTCAATACACGATTCTAATAAAAATAACATCATAAAGTTTTATATATTTTTTAAAAATAAAATAATAGAAATAACAAAGACTTACATTACAACCATTACCACTAATATTATTATTACTAGCACTACCAACGCTATTTGCAGTCGATGTAATATAATTTAAATCCGTTCGTTTTTTAAAAGGTGCTTTAAATTTAGCATCATTTCTTTAACAGATTTAATAATAAAGTAATGAATGAATTAATATTATATTAATTTATTATATTGACAATAATCTATATATACTAACATACTTTAAACTCGCCAAAGGTAAACCATTTAACATTTCTTGCAAATCTATAGAGAAAATAGTTGGATCTATAAAACATTGATTAGATATTTCATTATCTTGTGGGACACTAGTCAAGAGAAAAAAAAAATTATTGTATATACAATATCAATTTAAAAAAATTAGTGAAAAGAATATATCTACCTGCATGTTTCTGTTATTGTATTGTAATGTTCTTCAGTAAGTTTTTCAGCAAGATTAGCTTTATTTTTCATAAATTTTTTCTCGTGTTCTAATCCTGAATGGAAATTAGAAAAAAATTTTTTGGAATTAATCAAATGACTTGGTTCGCCCAAATCTAAATACCAAGCTCTATCAACATTTTGTTCCATTTGGTAAATAAAAGTAATTCATAAAGAAAAAACACAATTTCAAATTCATTCGTGTAACCATACATGTAGGGGAATTTCCCGAAATTTACTATGTTTAGTTAGTACTAGTACTAGTAGAAATTTTCCTAATCGGGAATAAATTTTTTAAAAAATTATTATTTAAAATTTTAATACAGTGCAGATCATCTATACACAAAAGTTAAAATTTTTGAAATATTATGTGATCCACACATTGGATTTTTAAAAACTTACCACCATTCAATTCAGCTTTAAAAGGGGAGTCTATTAATTTAAAAAAAAATTTGTCTCAAATTTTCTTTTTCATAGGTTTTTTAAATTTGAAAGTTATGCTCAGAAGTGCAACAATAATTTTCGTGTTACAATATTTTGAATCT